CGAAAGGAATGTCTAATGGAATATTTCTATGTAGTCTGTGTTTCAAAGACGTATCTCATTGCAAGTACCGTAAGAATGGCTTGACACGTATAATACATATTCCACTGCACACGTAAGAGAAGACTGTTAGCCACCACGCACGCACACGTATGAGAAGACAGTTAGCCACCACGCACGCACACGTATGAGAAGACAGTTAGCCACCACGAACGCACGCGTATGAGAAGACTGTAAGCCACCACGCACGCACACGTATGAGAAGACAGTTAGCCACCACGCACGCACACGTATGAGAAGACAGTTAGCCACCACGCACGCACGCGTATGAGAAGACAGTTAGCCACCACGCACGCACAAGTATGAGAAGACAGTTAGCCACCAGTTAGCCACCACCACGCACGCACGCACACACGTATCAGAGTAGAACAGCCCCGCTTGTATACCCCGTCGCCTCACCACTGTATGTCTGTACACAGAACATATTTTGCTGTTGTTATTGCAATAGCTGTAAATAATTTTCGTTAATCCAAATCAGATGTATTGTGCTGTATCACACGTGCCTGACAATGTTCTAAGCATCTATACCGAAAGGTCACATCACAACAGAAGGAAGGAGTTGTCATCCATAAACATATTTTTTCATTTCCAGCTGATAGCGTTGAAGCCAACACGCCTACACTGTATCCGTACTCCTGTGTTTATAACTGCGTAATGACGCAGCTATTTCGGTAAATTCGAAATGAAAACATCTTATTTTAGAAAACAAATTGTTCATATAGTTACACATCTAGACAGTGTCACGATAGAGTTTTTCAGTGGAAGAAAAGGGACATAACCCATGCTTCGGAAACCTGTTAATCAAGACAATTTTGCTCAAGTGGTGTATGTGGTGTACATACATAAGTGGTGTATATCCTTACATGATCCAAAGGATCAATAGACGCAGTACCCCCAACAGTGAACGGATGTCAGGTTCCTCACTCTCCTACCCAGAGTTCCATGCGGCAAGCCAGCATAGTACCTCTGCCACAGGCCAGAAAGATGTGACAATTCGTCACATCTTGCACCGTCCATTCAATATTATCTACATATTCCTTAACTATTTTATTTTTGACGAGTGTACACATCTAATTTATCATCTTTGTTAGTTAGAATGGTTTAGTTTCACTGAGAAAATATCCTAAAACATGTAACACTATTTCGATTTGCGTAGCGATGCTTTGTTTACATAGGTTGTACGGCTCCACGTGCTGTCATCGAAGCCAACAGAGAGCAAACGATGCATCCAGTTTGATATCTACGTATGTATTGTCATAACCCTGACTGTCACAGTTGTGGAAGAATATACATGTAACAATGTAAAACAGCGCACCGAAAAGCGTGCGTAAGGCTAGTCACTTCTTATTATGAATATGCGCGTTTGTTTACAAACAAGAGAAAAGTCCGGTCACGTGATATACAAATTAGCCTGTGGCAGTGTTGTTACGCTAAGTCATCACTGCGCCGGAGTGTGCAGGTTCCTATTAGGGACCGGAAGTGACGTAGAAGCTTGCCTTCCAGTTGACGAACAATATTGTTCAAATCAATACGAGAATATATGGGTGATAGCGTATCTGTGAGGGATTCCCTGGTGAAGGTGGAACTATTTTACTGAGTTTGAATAATTACCTTCTATTTTATTTAGTTTCATTTTGATTTTAATGATTCTGTTCATCCATCCTAAGAATTCGTTTTACAATTACATTTACATTGGTATAAACTGATTACGAGTCACTGAATAACTATGTTGGTGTGATGACCTTCACCGCAATAGGTTTGGCTGGAGACGTAAAACATTTAAAGAAAGAAATATTTCAGATTACATTCCAAATGAAGATAAAAAAATTCTTCATCTGGGGGCAATTGTTAAGTTTGCTTGTGTTTGTCTTCTTTGATACATTTACATTTATATATATACATATATACATACACATATATGTAGTATGACCAGAAATTATTGAGAATTTTAGGAATATGTTTAATTGGATTTCTAGTATAAACAACCTTGACCAGCTATCAAGTGCTTGGTTTCATTCGAGAGAGACAACTCCTTTAATCCTTTTTCATTAGTTTGTGAAGAGTTATCCCCCTTTGTTTACTTGCTAGCAGACGACATTTTCAGTGATCCTCAGTATGGATGATTTAGAGAAGAGGAAGTTGATTTTAGAGTATGATAATAAGGACATCAGATCAGCTAAAGTGATTTCAAGTAGAACAGGCATCCCTTTGTCCACTGTTTATCGTGTTTTGAAAAATATTGCAAATGGATATGGCATTGAGCACCAGGGAGGCGCAGGTAGGCCCAAACAATTAACCGTCGGTGACAGGAGGCGGCTTGGTATTCTTGTTTCTAAAAACAAACGAAGGAGTTTAGAAAACTTAAGGCTGGATATGATTGATAGAGGAACTGTGACTGTCTGTAAGGAGAAATTTGAACTGAGCTGCATGCAATGGGTTGGCAGAAAAGTCAAGGAATTCCATCACCGATCATGAAACCTGAACAAAAGGTTGAACTGGTGCTTACAGCATAGAAATTTTAACTGAGACAATGTGATTTTCTCAGATGAAAGCTCTGTGTGGCTGTTTCCTAATACATGTACACTGAAATTCTGGACCAAACAAACTGAAAAATCTTTGTGTCAGCGCCCAAAGTACAGTCCGAAATTTAACGTGTGGGGTGGCATATCTGTGTTAGGGGCAACGCCCCTCTGTTTTTTTTGCAGGGAATATGAACAGTGAGCGGTATCCTGATATTCTCGAGGGACATTTACTTCCATCTGCTCACGTGTTCTATAGAAATGTTTGGATTTTCCAGCAGGACAACGCCCCAAACATCGTTCAAAGCATTCACAGGCCTGGTTTCGGACCCAAAATATGACATTATTAGATTTGCCAAGCTATAGCCCTGACCTAAATCCAATAGAAAATGTTTGGGGACGTATGAAGGAAAGTGTCAATAAGAAGAATCTGACAAATATTGCTGAAATGAAAGAAGAGGTGGTCCGATATTTGGACAGCATGGACCACGACTTTCTAACTTCTTTGATCAGTAGTATGCCCCGCCGCATTGAAGCCTGCATTGCTGCCCATGGTGACTTGACAAAATACTAACTGTTCACCTGTCTTTGAATCTGGAGTTATGTTCTGCTAATATTCACATTTAATACGTGAGTAATGAGTAAAAATATAAAAAATTACAATCTTAAATTCTCAATAATTTCTGGTTGTATATACAAATACGCTTTTGGGGGGCCTTTCTATTTCAGGCGGGTAGGTGAATGGAACGGAATTGGTTTTTGACCAGTACTGGAATGTCTCCTTACGTTTTACCAGGATTGTTATCTAATGGTATGGTCACACGAACGAGTGAAACTAGTGAATCTATGTCTAGTATATCTAACCCAGCGTAGATTCCCCAGGTGACCGACATAATCTATAGGAATTAAGTGTGCATGTAGCTCTTGTGTACGGGAAATGTGCCGTATTGGGGCGTCTCGAGACAAACTGACCTGCAGAAGAAAGTGTTTGATGGTGGCTAATAATGAAAACCAATACGAACTGGTTATTCGATCCTGAAGTATTTGATTCGGGTAACATTGTTGTGTTTTGGAGCTTGAGCGTGCATTATTTCGGCCACTGTTTTCATCCAAAAGTGTGTAAAGTGATGACAAAGTGAGTAATGTTTTAGTCCAAGTTGTATAGTTGCTTTTCCCGGCAGTATCATTTATTTAGCCTTACGATGACAGCATGGTGTTTGACATCTCTTGTATGAATGTATGGGCTGGTGAAACACTGTGGGTTTCGATTTCTTCCCCAAGTAGGTTCAATGTGTGCCTCGTGTCCCCGCCGTCATATTGTGCTGCTATGGTACTCAACGGAGAACAATACTCACTAACCGTTCGAGTTCGCCCCCTGCGTCATAGAAGGGAGTGAGTTTAGTTTTACGCCGCGTTTAGCAATACTCCAGAAATATCATGGCGGGGACACCAGAAATGGGATTCACATATTGTACCCATGTGGGGAATCGAACACACACACACACACACACACACACACACACACACACACACACACACACACACACACACACTCTCTCTCTCTCTCTCTCTCTCTCTCTCTCTCTCTCTCTCTCTCTCTAACACACACACACACTCTCTCTAACACACACACACACACTCTAACACACACACTCTAACACACACACGCATGCACGCACGCACGCACGCACGCACACGTCCACATACACACACACGTGCACATACATGATAGCACGAGGGCAAGAAATGTATTATTGAAAAAATTAGTATGAATTCAAATTTATAGAAACTCATACCATCCACATCCATGTCACTATATGTAACCTGCCATTGGATTATGTATACAATAACCTACTTAAACACGTAATGCTGCATATATCCCTGGTAAATACATGACGTATTACACACCACAGGCTTGTAGACTCGGTGCAGCTTCACCACCAGCGGTTCTATTCGCTACATTTCATAGGACTTCATTACACGTTACAGAATGAACCCCACTCCTACATCCAAACAAGGAAATCAATACAAGGGCACTTCCATGAGCGGCTTCTCCTAGCACCTGTTGCACGGCACAAGTGTCCACTAGCAATCCCTTTACGATGCCAGATTAACAGGCAGCAAGAAAGTCGTAGATCTACTTCGAGAATACAATCTGTACTTGTTAAGCATGATATATGTCACCTGTGTCAAAATTTACAACATCAAGCGTTCAATCATGCTGATAAACCAAAGCTGATGAGACTGGAAGGCTAGGTCTCACTTGGTAGAACAGCCCCTCCCACCCGCTCCCTCCCCAAGCACATCCCCCGCCCCTCAAACTCCCTCATCCGAGTAGGACTCGCTCACTCGACCGGAAGTGGGAGAGTCGTATATAAGTTGGCGTAGAGGGAGGGATGTTTGGGGATCACACGGAATGAGCAGCAGAGCTGGACTGGAAGGAGCAGGCTGCACGTGCATGTTGCGCCACCTATGACTTGGGCAGACGACGAGACCTAGTTGAGGGCCGATGTGGACGCTAACCTTTCACCTCAGACTTGTCCACGAGTTTGTGTTACTATACCTGACGGCCATCAGACTTACAGGTGAATAGTCACTGAGAAATCATATTGATTTACTTCACTGGAGGTGTTTTTATCAGTGGATGGTACAGGTATGTTTCAATATTTCCTATTTCACTCATCGAGGATAAATTGTAACAGTGAGATGGAAAACGCCCCACCTGCTGGTAAGAGGATTAGTACATTCCTTCTCATGACTTTGTCAGGCACCATAGAAACTTTTTATCGTCAAGTAACTTATTCAGTTATTAATATCAAACTTTCTCTGGACAATTTTCATTTCTTGATAAATAAACAATTGTTGACTTCAAAATTGCTACCTAACGGAATACAGTTGCTCACATATATGTATATCATACTTTGTATATGATCTGGGTGTTAGGAATAAATGTCGAACAGTTCCTGCCATAGTGCCTATATAGCAATCTGTATACTTATATTCTGGAAGTTCTCTCAAGGGCCCCTGATACAATATTAATCACCGTCAATTATCAATCACCGTCATATTTTACTTTCAAACTGTAGCTTGTAAATACAAACATATTTCTACGATATGAAATTAGTTATTAAATGTTTCTAAAATTAAAATGGTCAAAAGTTTTACTAGAACAATAAAATGCATTGTGAAAATCCATAGGGTACTAAGGAACATAACCATGCCAAGTATCCGAATACTTTACAAGTATTATCTATGTCTGTTAGTACGTCAGTAATGGTCAGATATTAAGTTCCTTACTTCATCCATTCTTTACAGTATTTGTAGTGGGACTTGATTGACCGGCAGCTGTTGTTACTTGCATGTGGTTTAAGGTATACTTGTAAAACCTCCCTGTCCGTGACGACATGACTTTGAGGGAAATCCCTCTTCATGTAATATAGATAATATAACTTTTTTGAAATTGTTTTGAGGGGCAGAATGGTCTACATATGACATGTCACTTGATGAGCAATACAGAGTAGCTTTCCATATTTGTCCAAGGATGTCGACCGGAAATGCTTATAACTTACACTCTGCCATGACGAACGATCCCCGTTGTCATGGGTTTCTGCAAAATGTCAGTTCTCTAACAGTGGTCCGGTTTGCCCGCCCTGCAATACGGCGTTACACCTAACTAACACTTTCAAATATACGTATCTAACAAGATAGAGACCTGTTCATATTGGACGCCGGGGACAGTAACGTGTTACCAATCAATACAGGGAGAATAAGTCAGGGCCTCTGAAGTGTGGTGATAATGAACACCTTATTGATCTTTATATCACGTCAGACATGTGTCTTTGACGTAATAATGGGATCTACGATGATAGTTAAGACAAGGTGTGTCACGTTCCTTCTTATTCTACGGTCATGTCTGATTTTGTGAGTTCCATGTGTCAGTGACGGGCGTTATAGTTTTTACCTGCTAGATCCCTTGGGCAGCTCTTAAAGCATGTACGCCCCACTACTGGCATAAATCATGGAAGCACTCTTGCGTGGCATTTAGCTCTATCTTGCTCGCGTGGTAACTTTAGAGCTGTTAAAACATTTACTAGCTGTGTGCTGATATGTGAAAAATAGTTAAAGATTGCAGATATAACATGATAAGCTTTTTAAAATGTCACTAATTCATTTTTAGTCAACGTAGGAGCCTACGTGTTAGGTTACGTTTGCGTGTGTAACTTACTGAACCATCGAAACATTACCATGGCCCGTCAGAAAATTGGGTACTTGTGATGCAAGCGTCACATTCTGTAACCTAGGTCCAGATATATGCTACGATATTCTTGAAACACATAGGGACAGAAACTTTGATAACAATTGGTACGGTCAGGTTAGTTGCCCTGGATACCTCTGAGGCTGTATACGGGCCTGCTCCAATGAGCTGCGTGGTTTCCTTTTTCTATGACACACTCATTGCACAGAATTAAATACTACAATATCTTATTTTTGATATTGTTATTTTTGATTGAACCCTCATTGACTGCAGCGTCGCTTAATGTATCTGTCTCAAAAATGCGATATCACTTAAATTAACGTTCATGCAAGCAACTGCCCCGGGCTTTAACGCTGTTCTTAAGTATTTCTTGCCGTGTCCTTTCTCCCTTAACGTGGTGTCAGATGTTCTACCTCCAGCTATTTATTCCTATGGAGTGAACACAATCAACGTAGAATGGATTTTGACGTTTACAAGCATATGTTACCGATCCAATGCTTCTAAAATAGGATTGGTTGTCCTTAAAATAGTTCTTTTTTCAACGCCCCCGAAAATGGTACAATTGTTCCGGAAATAAACATGAATGCAGCACACGAAGCATTGTTGTAGAGGAAGGTATTAAAATCTATAACACGCCATGCCACCACGGTGGTTATTCTCGACCATTCCATCTACTCGATCATGGCGGATCTAGTTCCAACAAGGAACTCAGACTTATATCGGTGTCCTTGTGGCTGTTTAGAAACTCTTCACGGTGCTTTGCGTAGCTGAGAGTGGCTTTTGGAGGAACGGTTGACAAGGTTCACACTCCTTGCACTGTAATTTCGCACATGTTGTGTATGGAACTTAGTCGTGTCTGTCACATCCGAAACGACTTACCGTGTGTGTATAAACAGTAAAGTGCGCTGTGTATTACGTCAAACGGAAATGAGTGAATATATTTTAGACTACTGGGATCGTTAATATTGACCTTCATGGACAGTTTTTTTTACATTTTATCCTTCGTCGCTATATGGCTGAAATAATGTTAACTCACTCACTCATATGACGCCATCGAAATCCGTCAGTCCTGTGTCCGTATGGCTAGTGTGTGTAATATACCCAGGTCCGGAATCGAACCTGGGCCTTCGTTGTGACTAGCTTACCTGATCTACCACTTGGCTACCCCATCACCCAGCTACGATAAAAGGATAAAGGTGAAAGTGTAACGAAATTTCCCTCTTTCAACTGAAATCTAACTTAATCCTGCAAAAACGTGATACTAGTAACATTTTGTTTAAGTGGGGTCACTCTATATCAAAACGTGACTATTATGTTTCGGTGCCCATGTTTGATTTTATTTTGGATTAAATAAAGGAGTAAAACATTTTAGATATTTTGCAATACCACTAAAATACGATTTTGTAAAGTTAAAAGTGCACAGTTACATGATTTACAAAATGTCATAAGAGTACTGTTTCGAGTGTCGATCCTATTTTATTCCACAATGTTATTTCCACATGACGTCTCGAGGTTGAGAACGAGACAGATCCGGGGGTTACATCCGTAATCCCCCTGTATAATCCCCTCAGATCCTATGTCTGTATCACGTCTCCGCACATTGGGGGCACCAGATGAGATGACATGCCAGGAGTCTATATTTCAAACAGCACCTGAAAAGAAATCACGTATAAATGTTCAGCCATTAAAAATTTAATGATGCTTGCTTTTAAAGTACATATGTTCTCAGCATGAAGAGAAACCTTCTGAAGATTTAAATGTCAAGTGTGATTGTACTAGGTATTCATTGTTCGAATTATGATATATTTGTAGATGTGTGTGACAGAGACCGATTTGGTTCAACCTTGCTCTGAAGGAACGTTTAATTCCTAAGGTTAATTGCACTACAGCCATGACGTGCCATGGATCTGTCAACTGCCATTACTTGTATATTTAAGTGGGTATTCCCCACTTTATGCTACACTGACATTCAGCCATCCAACATGTCACATCTCGTCGTTACTGTATATGCATGACTTAATCCATGTCCAGTGACCTACATATACCTTGACAGAAGGGCAGGGCTCTGGCTCTCACTGACCATCTCGGAATGTATAGGCCACTGGCCAACTCTCTTCTGAACAGTGAATTGTGTCTGTATATCTAAAAAGGAAATTATATCAATCTGCCGTGTCTTCAGTTTGTTACTGAAACCAGGGAGATAATAACACCCAAGCTCCCAGATTCAGCCTAGCTCAGTGAGTGAGTGAGTTTATATTTACGCCGCTTTTAGTAGTATTCCAGCAATTATCACTGCGGGGGACAGCAGAAATGGGCTTCACGTGCGGGGAATCGAACCCGGGTGTTCGGCGTGACGAGCGAACGCCTTAACCACAATGCTACGCCACCGTCCCTCTAGCTCAATGAGCATAATGAAATTGAATGGCCAAATGAATAAGCTCAATCGGCCACATGCGTCCCAAGGAAGGGCCCCCCACATCATGCGTCCCAAGGAAGGACCCCCGATATCATGCGCCTGAAGGAGGGACACCCTTTTTCATGAGTCCTAAGGAAAGACGACCTTCTCTCATACATCCCCAAGCGGGATAGATCTGCCGAAATGCCAAACGGCGATGGCGACCTTCATAAACACCAAACACCATGGCAGGGCTCACCCTTGATCGAGCTCGGCTTGGACCAGATGCATCGCGGCACGAACACCAATAGTGTTGAACATAAAGAATTTTCTGGATTTCATCTTCTTTTATTCTAAGATACAACGTTCCGGGGCCTGTCCCGGTCCCATCACCAGGCGAAACTAATAAACAGTTAACTGTGCAAACTGTCGTTGTATCAAAAAATAAAACAAGATGAAATGCAGAAAATTCTTTATGTTCATCAAATAGCGTCTTCTGAAATACCAAACCAGCACCACTAGTGTTATCACAATGTAATATGATGACGACCTGTAGATGGTCTACAACATCCAGTCACTGACATCATCAACATCGAACTGGGATGACAAGTCAGCGAGCTTAACCACTCGACTTTACGTCTGTTAAAGTATTGTACTGTTCAACGAAATTCAAGTACTTTTAGATTGTTGCGAATCGTGTGCTAGAGATTGGCTTGCTGATGTATAAGTACGCCATACATCTGAGTTAAACCACATGCAGAAGGTGTGGGTGTAATATATGCAGCATTTCCCAGTATTCATTAATGATGTAGAAGTATAGCCGTAATATATGCACATTTCCCAGTATTGATTAATGATGTAGAAGTATAGCTGTAATATATGTACATTTCCCAGTATTGATTAATGGTGTAGAAGTATAGCAGTAATATATGCAC